CAACAGGTAAGTGGGTGAGGGAAGACATCCGTCAGTGTAAAACATGGAAAAATAATGATTTATAAATTATCAGGGGGGAGGGAGGAAAGGAGGGTAGGGGAAGGAGGGGAAAAAATAAGAAGCTGATACCAGGGGCTCAAGTCGAAAACAAATATTTTGTGAATGATGAGGGCAAAAAAACGTACACATGTGCTTGACACAATGGATGTATGTATGGATTGTGATAAGAGTTGTATGAGTCCCCAATAAAATGATTAATAAAGAAAAAAAGAAAAATATTTCACAATTTTAAAAAGTCCTTAAATTAGAGAAAGTCTCCCCTGAGCCCCAATCCAGCTATCCCTGAGATATATATGAGTTCGGGAAACACAGGGCTACTAATACTTACTGAATCTGAAGTGCTTGCTTTTAGTGTTGGCTTAATCTGGAGCGGTTCTCTGTCCATGTCGGGATCATCAATTTGACAAGTGGCTTTGATTCTGTGGACTGGTGCTATGGGGCTGGGAGAAAGACGGATGACAGCCAGACCTAAAAGCAGAATCCATAATGTAGTGAAAATGTGAAATTGATCACTCTAGATCAGTGGGTCTCAACCTTCCTAATGCCACGACCCTTTAATACAGCTCCTCATGTGTGGCGACCCCAACCATAACATTATTTTTGTTGCTACTTCATATCTGTAAGTTTGTTACTGTTATGAATCGTCATCTAATTATCTGATATGCAGGATGTATTAGGAGACCCTTGTGAAAGGGTCGTTTGACCTCCAAAGGGGTTGAGACCCACAGGTTGAGAATCACTGCTTTAGATTACTAAGGAAACCCAGGCTTATCCTGTTTATTGGGTGATCTTAGATCTTACAGGAGAATTAAGACAGATAAGAAGGGAAGAGAAATTAAGTACCATTTTACCATGTGGCATGAAATACAAAGTGACCGAGTGAACATTTTTACTGAACTGGGAATATAACCAAAGCAACACTGCTGCCATTGAGCTGAGTTTGGCTCGTATAGCAACCCAATCCTGATCTCTAGTTAGGTGGGGGTGCTTTGAGTGGCTTCCCAAGGAAACTCATACGTGCACAGGATGAGAAACATTCCTTTCCAATTTTGAAGAAAGTATTTAGGAATTTGTGGGAGGGCACATCATGTTTTCCACGGCGCCATCAATCTTTCTCAATGAAACCATCTGCCATGGTGTCCATTCTGATTCATGGCGACCGTAGATTGCAGTAGAACTGCTCCCTAAGGTTTCTGAGGCTGTAAATCTTCACGTGAGCAGAGCGGCTCATCTTTCTCCCAAGAGGTAGCTGGTGCGTTCGACCAACTGACTTCACAGTTAGCAGTTTATTGCCTCACCACCTGCGCTGCCAGGGCTCCTTCCTTTCTCAATGGACATTCCAAAGGAGAAATCATGGCACCCAGAAAGGGCTGGTGAACGAGAAAACACAGCAAACACGGCTAGCGAATCCTTGCAGAATTCAGCCCTAGAAAAGCAGGTTTTTTACGCAGTGCAAGATTTAAGGGTTGGCTTTGTTGATAGAAACATGACATAAACAAACATCCATCCAAACATGCATGGATCCGTCCAGTGAGTAGAGCAGTTACTCATTTGTAACCTGGAGCGCCCTTAGAGTGGGCTGACAGGAACTATCATGTGATTGGTTATTCCTGGAGTTCTAGGGTTTATGGCAGGGACCAGGTACCCTAAAACCCAGCTGCTGTCCTGTCCACCCTAATTTGTCCACCCTGACATTGGGTGTGTCAGAAAAGTACTGTGTTCTTTTCCATAGGGGGTTCAGTGGCTGACTTTGGGGAACTTTTTAACCTTTTCCTGAGGTGCCTCTGGAGGGACTCAGACCTATACAGCCTTTCTGTTAGCAGGTGAGTGAGTTGCCCTTTTTTACCTGAAGATTAAAATGCACAAAACAGTCAAGCCTTCCCCTCTGCCCAATTATTAATCCGCATGGGTATTTCTAACCTGTATGGTCTTTGGGGCTACCTACTCCTCTGCTCTTTCCTAGTTAAGAGGAACTCCTTGCCAAAGAGCCAGCCTTCTGGAATGCATCCGTAGCCAAGGGGTCCTGACAGGAAACAGGATGCTGCTTCTAGGATCAAGATCTTTTCAGTCTGGGGAGATGCTCATGCCCACCAAGTAGATTCTAACACATAGACCCGACAGCAGCGGTTCTCAATCTGCCTCATGCCGCGGCCCTTTCATACAGTTCCTCATGTTGTAGTGACCCCCAACCATAAAATTATTTTCGTTTTCTTTGCTACTTCATAACTGTAAGTTTGCTACTGTTATGGATTAGGCGACCCCTGTGAAAGGGTGCTTCGACCCCCAAAGGGGTTGCAATCCACAGGTTGAGAACCGCTGCCCTACAGGATAGGGTGGCACTGATCTAGAGGGCCCCCAGGCTTTCATCTTTACACAAACAGGCTGACTACCCCATTTTTTCCCCCTCTCATAGAGTGGCTGGTGAGTTAAAACCTCCAACCTTTTGGTTAGCAGCCAAGCACTTAGCCACTCTGCCACTGAGGCTCCTCTGAGGAAGCACAGCTCTCCTCACAACCTGTTCTCCTCTTCATTGTAATATTGATTTTAAAGTTGGGGAATGTGAGACCCAGGGAGAATGAATAAAGGCACACAGCCAGTTACCGACAGAGCTGGCTCTTCCCACCAGATCACAGCACCCCTTCACTTTTCTCATGCCCAACCTCAGTTCTCGTCAATTCGGCCCTGGTGAATTTCCCAACCTCGCTTCTCCTCTAAATCGGCCCTAGTGAATTGGCACTTAAGTCCCAGCACCTAGAGCTCCAGACATCCTTGCGACATGCTGATCCACTCAGGGTGAATGATTTGTGATAGCAAGAACTCCTCCACCAGCCTGTATGATCATGAGGTGTCGAATGGATCAGGCATCAGGCATCAAAGAACAAAAAATCATATCATTGTGAATGAGGGGGAGTGCAGAGTGGGGACCCAAAGCCCATCTATATGCAACTGGACATCCCCTTATAGAAGGGTTTCCGGGAGAAGAGCCAATCAGGGTGCAGGGTGGCAACGATGAAACATACAACTTTCCTCTAGTTCTTAAATGCTTCCTTCCCCACCACTACCATGACCCCAATTCTACCTTACAAATCTGGCTAGACCAGAGGATGTACACTGGTACAGATAGGGACTGGAAACACAGGGAATCCAGGACGGATGATCCCTTTAGGACTAATAATGAGAGTAGTGATACCAGGAAGATAAGGGGAAGGTGGGGTAGAAGGGGGTAACCAATCACAAGGATCTACATATAACCCCCTCCCTGGGCGACTGACAACAGAAAAGCGGGTGAAGGGAGATGTCGGAAAGACATGACATAATAATAATTTATAAATTACCAACGGTTCATGAGGGAAGGAAGGTGGGGAGGGAGCAGAAAAAATTGAGAAGCTGATACCAAGGGCTCAAGTGGAAGGCAAATGTTTTGAGTTATGGTGGCAACAGGTGTACAGGTGTGCTTGACACAATGGATGTATGTATGGATTGTGATAAGAGTTGTACGAGCCCGATAAAATGCATTTTTTAAAAAGTAAATGTCTAGAAAAGAACAATGGCATCATATGCACAAATATGCTTGATAACAATTGATGTATGGATTGTAACAAGAGTTGTAAGAGGCCCAGTAAAATGATTTTAGTTATACATAAATAAATAAAATTTGAAAAAAGGAAAAGAGAACTTCTCACGGACAAACCAGGTTCTGGAGAATATAGTTGGCCACCAAAGGCCGCCTTCAAGGCATCCGTGGAGGGAGGGAGGTAGTGCTCATGGGTCTAGCCACACTCCCCAGACACCCTTAGGGGGATGTTGGGGACCTGTTCCCTCTGCACCTAATTCCACTGGGACTGGGTGTTTGGGGAGCGGGTGGGGGTGGAAAGGCAGGTTCATGAGCTGATTTGATACATTTGACTTTGGCTGTTCTCAGCACCAGGTGGCCAGCACAGCTCTCCTCAAAACCTGTTCTCCTCACTGGGTCTGTTTAAAGTCTCTGAGTTCTTCTCCTGCTGTGTCTGAGCCGCTCTTCAGATGCGTCCAAGCAGGGGAGAGGGAGGGGCACTGTATCTAACTGTGAAAGCAATCAGGACTGTGCAAATGACATCTTCCAATGGAGAAGGGAGGAGAGTCCCAGGGTGCCTACTCATCCTGTGTCTTCTAGACATGATCTAATACTTCCTTGTGCTCTTTCCTTTAATCATGAACTAACTGAAAGAAAACAGGAGGCACTCTTTTGCTTTATCATTCAAGCAGACGGTACAGGTATTGGATAATATGGCTTGACACAATCAGCTTCCTTTTTTTTTAAAGCCAATCTGGCAGAAAAGCATTGAGCTGTTATGGGAGTTGCATTGGCCCTTCAATGCTTTTCTGCCCAGCCCATTAGTCAGCAGCAGAAGAGCCCAGGGACCAGGCAATCAGAAGTCATTGCTAAACAATGACTGCCAGTCCCGGCCTCCACAAATCAGTCAATGGACGAATGAGGACTACCGTTTGCAGGGCAGCAGGGATATAGAAGTGGTGGCAAAGGAAGCAAATAAAAAACTAAGAAAATAGACTGACTAAGGGAAGAGAAAACAAGCAATGTGGGTTTGCTCCTGCTGCCGTGGGGTTTCCGGCGCACTGTCATTGCCTTGCCGCCATCTCTTGCCAGTTGGACCGCTTCTCATGCTCCCCCACTGTCACTCTCTTCCACCACCCGTGGCTTTCTCATCAGAAATCCCCATGCCTAGCCAGACAGGGCTATGACCTTCACACTAGGAGTCCTGGTGGCACAGAGACTACATTGGGCTGCTAACCACAAGGTCAGCAGTTCAAAATCACCAGTTGTTCTGTCGTAGAAAGATGAGGCTTTCTATTCTCATAAAGTAACACAGTTTAGGAGACCCACAGGGGCAGTTCTACCCTGTCCTAAAAGGTCACTGTGAGTTGGCATTGACTCGATGGCAGTGAGTTTGGCTTGTTTGCGTGTTTTTCTTCCTCAAGGCTGTTCTAGCCAAATTCTTCACCTCTCCTCCATTCTTTCCACTTACTTGCTCCCAGTCAAGTACATTAGTCTAAAAACTTAGACCAGTGATAATGTATAGAGAGATGCAGGGAGATTTACTTTAAGGAATGGTCTCACAGATTGTGTGTGTGCATGCAGGGGTCGAGGAGTGGCAAACTTCAAAACTGTAAGCCACGTGGCAGACTGAAGACTCCTGCAACCTTGTGTCCTATAACCTGCAGGCCAACTGACAAGAAGAGTGGAGAGTAAAAGTGTCTGGGGAAAAGTAAGTTTATTCCAGGGAAACTCCCTTTGCGTTTTGAAGGCCTTTCACTGATTACCTGAAGCCCACTCAAAATATGGAAGGTAATGTTTCACTTGAGGCCAACTGGTTGAATTACACATAACTACTTTATAGCAGCAAATAGATTAACGTATTTCCCAACAACTGGCACCAAAGCCATACCCTGTCCATAAAGTTAACATTACA